ATGGTGGGCTGTGTTATATTATTTAATTTAAAAAAATTTTAATTATTTGAAAAAATTTCCAACACTTTGTTTAAAAATTCTTCGATATTAACTACAATATTTGCAATATTTTTTAACGAAAGATTTCCAAATTCAATATGCTTTCTCTTTTAATTTTGAATTAGATGAAATTTTTTTTCGAATTTTTGAAAAATATTTTCAAAACTTTTTTTATTATATTATCTTGGTACAAATTTTATTTCTTATTTTTTTTTTTATTGCTTAATCTTTTCGAATTTTTAAATGCGGATCTATATTTCTATATACAAACTGACTGAAATGGCACTTCAAATACCCATCATGATTGCTTAGCGGCTAGATAAAAAAAAATACAATACAAAAGCGTTGATTGAAGTAGGTTAATAATTCAATAAAAGATGGCAAATAGCCACTTAAAATTAGCGCTAATGCATAAATCAAGACATTAACTGAAATGCGAAGTAGCACTAAGCAAAATAAGGCAAACGCAGGAGTAAAAACAAAATACAAACGATGCATTTGAAAGGCAACAAATGTGAAAAAATGTGCAACAAATGCAAACATGCCGAAACAAACAACAAAAAGTAAATAAAAATTCACACACAACAGTCAAGAGATAGCAGCGCCACGAACAGTGCAAACGCGCATGCGCAGCCATACAAACAATAACAATGCAGGCGCGCGGCGCACACCCGCCCAGCCATGTACAAGCGACGCTGCAAATCAACACTTCACATGTGAGTCCAAAAGTCAGGCGGCAAAAGCGCGCTGCAGAAAATCATTTCCGTATTCAAAAGTTACATCGTAAAGTACGACAACAACAATAAAAGCAAAAGCAATAATAAAAAATGAAAATAAATTTCGTTTGTTCGCGGAGTGGGCTCGCTGTGGGTTGGTAATAAAAGCCAAATGACTGCACATACACGCCATATATATACATACATACATATGAAACACACATACACACATGTGTGCTTGCAGAAAGCAATTGACCAAAACAAGGAAAACCAGAAAGCATGCAAGCGAAAATGATAAATTGAGCAAATATGAAATAATATGTATACATGTCTGTATGTGTTCACGCTTTTATATATGTATCTGTGTGTGTGTGTGTGAGGGGGCTCAAAGGGCGGGGAGGAGGGGCCATGCGGCACAATAGGCCATTGTAAAATCTGACTTTGGCTGACTTTCAGTTGAAAAAACGACGAAACGTTGCCAAGTGGACTGTTGGAAAAATTACAGCAACAACAGTGGCAACAACAAAAGAAAACAACTAAATCAAATGAAAAATGAAAGTGAAATTTTTTTCTGATTTTTTCATCGCCTGGTTTTTGTCGTTGCCAAGGTGCGTGTGTGAGTAGCTGTGTGCTTTGTTTACTTTGCGTGCCTCGCTATTTCTGAGATACCAAGCAGCCTGTAAGCACGCTCATTTAGAGCGCATGCGTGACCTACAACACTCGCTCGTCTTGCTACTTGAGTGTTTGCTGAAGTAATAAACAGACGTTTCTTATATCAACGCTGTTCTGCTGTTGAGTAAAAGCTTTCGATTTCTGTTGACCTAAAGCTCAGCGAAAGCTTTTACCGCTTTTCGAGTGTAAATATTTTCCATTGCCTTTCTTTTGGCCTTCTTGCCCTAATCTTTCTTCGCATTTTATTTTTAGCGCTCAGCATTTTTTCTCTGCTTCGTCTACATTTTTCTCTCAGCAAGCTTATCAATACGAGTTTGTGTATGGACTAACTGTGATGCGTATCTCTTCGTGTGTGGAGCTAACTGTTTCAGGCGCTTATGCTGCATACTTTATACACGTTTATTCGTGATTTTCATCCTCATAATCTTTTCTTCATTTCTTGGCGCTTTTTTAAGCCCACCTTTACAGTAGCTCTCAGCTACTAATTTTTTTCTAAATTTTCCTTCCCTATTCAACTCTTCTGTCTGCTGCTGCTATTTCAGCTTTAACTTCAGCTTCAGCTTTGGTTTCAACTTCAATTGCAACTCCGTATTCACCCTTTCGCCAACTAAAAATTTCCGCTTTCTTATTCACTCTCACTTTCATTTGACCGACTGGTAGTTGTTGCTGTGCAAACTGGCTTTGACTATCTTACGATTGTTACCGTCTTACTATCTCTGCTTTCTGTCCGTCTGTCTGTCGGTGTATTACCAAATGTTGCGAAATCTTTGCTTGTCATTTGTGGTAAGTGTTACGATTGCAATTGAATAATACTTGCAACTTAGAAATTTGCACTCGCATTCATGCACGTTTGGTCGACTTCTCCTATATTTCATGTGGGAATACATACATACATATTTTTAAGTATGTAAATATTGTTTACTTCACTTGAGAAGATTGGTATCTAAGTGCTACATATTTCCATAAAATTTTTGTGAGTAAATGTCTAAAAGACTCGATTTTACTCTGTAGTAGTTGTGTTCACTTTTGCAACTCTGAGCAAAGGTTTCTACAAATCATGCGTTCTAAACGCACCAACCCCATCTTCACGTGATGATTTCGTTTCACGAAAAACGTTGACCACTTAGTTTATTTTCTTCGTGCGGGAATAAAAATTAGACAATCGATGTAATGTAATTGTAATATTATATGTAAGGTTTGCCAAAAAAAGATTCCTAAGGCATGTATTTTTCCAGATGAGCAAAATTAAACAAAATTTTCTCACGAAGAACTTCCAAGCAAATTAATGCCAGGTTTTTTGGAAAAAACTGAACATGACGCAATCATACCTCTGGAAAAGCGCAGAATATTGAGTTCTGAGTAGTAAACAACTACGTTTTGCCTGTTGTCTTTCAAGAAATCGGGAAAACCAACCGAAGACAGAACACTCTTCACCTAGCCAATGCGAGTTCTCACACATCGCCTGAATCAACTGCATTTTTGAGCACTGAAAATATCGATTTGATGTGTCATCCACCATAGTCCCGACTTGGCATCGATTGCCTAATTTTTATTCCCGTACGAAGAAAATAAGGTAAGAGGTCAACGTTTTTCGACACGTGAAGATGGGGTTGGTGCGTTTAGAACGCATGATTTGTAGAAACCTCTCTCAGAGTTGCAAAAGTGCATCGAGAATTTACATAAGCGCATGCAAAAGTGAGCGCAACTTAATGAAGAATATTTTGAAATACAATAAAGTCATTTTCGATGATTAATATTTAGTTTTGTTTTCTACACCCCCGAAATACTTATAAAAGCCTTCTATCTTAAAATAAAAGTATAGACCATTTATATTAATTCTATAGAAAATCTGTTTAAAATAAAATTTATTTCTAAAACTGATTCGACTGAATTGTGAATAAAAAAATATGTTTTTGTTTTTTTTTTTTGAAAATACCTTGCACAATGCAAAAAACTATTAGTATCAATTTAAGCTAAAACTAAGTCGTCGTGTTTATGGAAATTTTATACAGAAAATTGGGTTTAAATTAACAAAAGGTGAAAGCTTTATTTAAATCCAAAATACCCATGAGTTGCATTAGAAAGCTCCAATTAAAAATGTTTTAAAAAACTTCCTCCGAAGTATACAGAATATGGCTTGCTTTTCGAATGCTCTGCATTGAATGTTTAGAAAAAGTGATTTTTTGTGTATTACGAATTGCAGAACCAGGCTAGCTGCAATTTTTTATTAAATATATGCTATTTTTCAAGTTTTGAATTCATGAATAGTGAAAGCTCTATTTCGAGTAAAAATATATAAGTTGCTTTGGAGCACATTTTATATTTCAATAAGTTTTTCTTTCAGTTTATTAATATGCAATTTTGTTTAAAATTTGCTAATGAAATTGCAAAACAAAAAAAAGAAGTTATCATTTTCACACTACGAGTTCCGCAAAAGTGAAAGCTTTTAAGTGAAAAAAGCTTAATTTGCTATCGGCTGCATTTTTTTTAAATGTTCAGTGCGGAAAAGCTGCTTATTTAGTAATTAAATTACACTTTTAAGAGGTTTCCGTTAAAATTATAAATTTAGTAATTAAATTATACTTTTTATAAAAAAAATTCTTTGACAAAAACGATTTTACAATTTTTTAAGCTTTGATTAGCATAAAAACGCTGAAATTTCATGCCAACACCCAAATAAATTTTGTCTAAAAATTGCTTTTAAATTTTATATGCAAAACAAGCAAACTTGTATAAATAATAATATATTCAAAAACTGTACATTTGGACATACACGCTTTTTGGTTGGAATATATGCAAATATCTCAGCTTTGTATTTATATATTTCACTTAATGCTAACGCAAAACCTTTCAAACAAGGCAATTAAGGCATTTATTTTAAACTTTCTCACTATTTAAATACACAAAAACGAAATGCAAAAACAATAGCAATAATAGCGAAACAACAAAGGCATAAGCAAAGACAAACACAAACACAATGAAAGCAAAGACAAAAGCAGTTTGCAGAAAAATTAAAATAACAACAACAACGCAATGCAAACAAACAAAAAGCCAAAAAAAATTACCGTTTGTTTTGCAAATGAAACCCAAAAATGGAGATTTCCTGCCTGAAAACAAAGAAGTAATAAAACATCGTAAATTAAAGAAATTTCACAAAACAAGAAAAAAAAAAACACGGAAAATATTTTTGATGAAAAAAGAAAAAATAAGTAAAAATTCAAAAATAGTAGGAGATGAAGAAGAAAATCGGCAAATATGCAAATATGAGCTTCAAGTGAAGGTGGTAAATGAGAGTTGTCGCAATCTTCTATACATTCGTCTGTCGTATGTTTGAGTGTGTTTCTTGTATAAAGCAAAAACAATGAATAAAGAATAATGGGCACAGATTTACACGCCAAACAATGTGTATAAAGAAGTAGTAGAAGAGATAATAGTAAACACTAAATGGCAACAATGAGGCGACACAGTTATAAGAGTCAAAACTCAAAACCAAAAATTCAAAAAAAAAAAATTATAAATAACTGACTTTTCGGCGCAGAAATATGCACCAAAGAGACACGGAGACTGCGCAAATTTTTTCATTATTTTCCTGGTTGGTCGAACCTCCACTACATTTAGTAATTTAACACGCCATTTTGGTAATACAAGCGCCACGAAAAAAAACTTAACTATGAATATTAATGTCTGTATATATAAGATAAGTTTATTTAAGTGCATACACTTGAGTGCTGATAACTTTTACTTTTATTTTCACTTTCACTGCGCACCTAAGCATGTGAGTATCAGAAAAACGTGTCCAATAATGCGCCAAAGATGCTGAACGAAGGGAACTGAGACAATGAGGAAGGGCCACAGCATGCAGCAAATAGCAACAACAACCAGTGAAGCGAAGAATAAGAAATGCTGGTGAACTGAATTTGCGTAATTTATGGACCCAATTCGGTGTGCATATTTTTAGCACACACTACAAAAACAACAGCAATTTAACCGCAGATCGGAAAAAAGAAATGGCTGCGCATGTGCAGAAATGCCTGTCTCGCATCTTTCGACAGAAGTGGCAGTTGCGAAAGTGAACTTAAAAGAAACGTCTTCGTTGATGCTTTAGTCTTCAACTGTATACAGATGTAGGCTGTATGTAGCATGTTCAGTTGAAAATCAGACATCGAGACACACTTAAAGTGCTGATGGCAAAACTTGAATCACATTAACCAAAGTTTTTATTGCTTCTTTTTGGGGAATCCAAATATGTAACTTTAGTATGTAAATAAAAATATGGCTTTGTGGGTCAGCTGCTGATCGATTTTGTATTTGGGACGCATGAGATGGAAGTTTCGGAATTCTCAAAACGGTTGCACCGAAGCAGTCGTTTAAGTTTGTTGAATAGCCAGAGCTCCCACGGAGCTAATTATAGTGATTGCGGCACGATATTGGCTAAAAACTTGTCAAAAAACTCATAAAGAACTAACGCAGTATGTGCATGAGGGGTCAGTAGGGTAATCTGTTTTTTTTTTTTTTTTTCAAAAATATATTTTTTTAATAAATTATTTTTTTTCAAATTAATATCATTATAATATTATATGTATATTTTTTTGTATTTTCTGTCTCTCTTATACCCTTAGAATTAATGTAGAAGCCCACTTTAAAATTGGAAGGTTTCGAAAGGCGCCCAAAACTAATAATACCGCTCGACGTTCGGAGCGCTTGGAGTACAAACTCAAACTTTAAACGCGTTTTTCTCAAAACACACTTTTTTAAACTGGCGGACTTGATTCCGGTCTAACTACTCAACCGATTTGCTTAATTTCTTTTTATGTTCACAAGACGTCTGGCTATCTTCCCTAAATTTTTTATAATTTATTGACAATGTTATGACAAAATTTATGTAAAAAAAAGGCGAAAAATAAAAAAAGGCGTAAATTCCTTTTTTATTTATCTACATTTTTTCATGATTCTATTAGGAACGATAACTATTCACGTACTTTGTAAGAATACATTGGGTTTTCGTGTTTCAGATGATCCAAACATGAGAAAACAGTATCCGCTAGTGAAAAAACGCATCTCATTCGCCCAGCCATTTCTCCGACAGATGTCATCGAAAAATTCCGAAAAAATTATTATACACTCCACGATATTACCTCATGATATGCGAAAAAAGTTCTAGAATAAAAATTTCTATGAAAAAAAAGGTCAAACAACAGGCCAGATTACCCTACAATTCCCATAATTCCGGTCTCTTTTAACGAATTGGTTCGTGTAAATAAAGCATAACAAAAATAGTATTCCTTGTTGACCGTTGACCGTTCGGAAGAAATTCGAAGTGCCCTACACTTTGATTTTTGATATGCTTCAATGTGGATTTTCCGGGTTCGTCTCACCTTTGCCACGATATTCCACCAACTGATCGTCTGTTTACAGGTCGTAAGCATAGATCTAAAACTCACCGACAGTAATAATGTATTTCATGACATCCTGGTAATGGGAATAAATACTTTATATCTTTACTTCAGAGAGGCAAGCGTATAATGAACACTAATGATTATTTTGCTATAATGCTTTCATAGATGTCACAGGCAGTCCTACCAACCTAGAAAAAAAAAAATATTTCGACGAATGGGTTTTCGCAGGGAATTTAAATTATAAAGTCTTACTATTTGTACTCATAGGTGTTTTTCACTTTTTGCCTATGTTTCCTTCTGAGTGTCGTGGCAAACTAAACACTGACGGGTTTATAACTCGAAGCATTGGTTGAAGATTCTATATAACCAAGTATTACTATATTTTATATTATATAAAATTTATAGGTAAGTGTTATAATGTATGAATGACTATATGAAAGATTTTGTTAGGCAATAAGGCAGTATGCTAATTTTTCTTTCTGTATGTATAGTATTGTGTTCTTCTATTGCCTTTAGACATATCTACAAATTCATTTTTTCCTTTCTTTGAAATTGTGTTCAACTTTCATCTCTGTCATCACTTTTCATTTCCGAAGTAGTTATTCAACCTTTATTTATAGCTGAAACCTCACACTATTTTAGTGCGCTCACCAAAAGCGGCATTTGTTGGCGAATAAATAAATCCTTATAAAGAGATTGCATGAAAGCAAAATTTATTATTATAACATGTCTTTTTCATTTTTATATATATGTATTATGTATATATTTTTTGTAATTTTTAGAAACTTTCGCGCATTTGACCAAAAAGATGCAAATTTAATGCAAATATGATTATCTGCTCATTTCCCTTGTCTTCAATAGGAAGCAGTACATTAAAGCGCCAACAAAAGATTGGACCAAACAACAAAAAGAACAACCAAATTTATGGCTTATACACGCCAACAATAGCAACAAAGCACTTTATCTGCTGGCGTCATCAGCGAGTAGTTAGTGAAAAAGAGTGTAATATGCAGGAAAAAGACCGCGGCAGTGTTAATTTTAACCGAATTTTGCATGCAATTAAAAATAATTTGCATAATTTTCGTAAATTTGGTGGTAACTGGCAACAACGCCCGCGTGAAAACGGAAAAAGAAAGATTGCCCCGAAATTTCGTTGGCATTTTCACTTTCATTAGAAGCGCTCGAGTGGCACAACCGGTCAAGCGAGCGGTCAATTGGTCAGAAAGTGAACAAACTACAACAACAACAACAACGATATGCTATATATTTGAAAGAGCAGAAGTTAGCGCTAAGGGAGTGCTGCGCGGCGAACGCTCAATGCCGCTGGGACTACGACAACGCATTGTCTGCTGGCGTTGCGCGCGTTAGTAGCCGGCGTTAATGATACAATATTGCGTGCGTAGGTATGTGTGTGTGTGCTAAGTAAATGCCCAAAAAGAAAATTTGTGGAAGAAAGAGGAGAAAAGTCAGAAAGCAATCATACCGAAATTAAACTAAAATTTTTTTCAATTTAAATCAAGTTTAAGTTGGCATATGTTTTTTATATTAACATACAAACATACATACATAAAAAATATTTTGGTGTAAAAACTACATACAAACATATATGTAAACATGTGTGTTTGTATATATTTCTTGCTCACTTGTAGCTTTTGTGGTCGTATTGGCATACGTATACTAATATGTTATTATATATACAGTCACGGCCATAACTATATATGTATACATACATGCATATGTGCATATAAATGCAAACATCTATACAATATACTAGCCAGTTTGCATTTAGTAACTGTATTATTATGCTTTATGTTTCATATTAGTTTACTTTTGATAAATTTCATGCTGCCGGTCTGTCGACTAGCTGCAACAACAACCAGCCAGCAACAACCACCACTGATATATGGGATTTTACTGGACCGTAGCAATAATGCGGAATTAAACTTTCACTATTTTAAAGTTTTTTTCACGTTTAAATTTTCTTGTTTTATTTTTTCCTGACTTTTTGGCGCTTTTGGAAAGTGTAGCATTTGAGTGTGTGTGCGCATGTGCAAATGAAATATATTACATTTCTTCCTTACGTAATCTAAAAACGAAAAGAAAAGTGTTCAGCGATTCTGCACAGTTCTTTGAATGGAAGGCAAGAGGCAGCACTTGGTGGCTATATTAGGCACATAGAAATTCATTATTATGTGCGCATAGGTCACATAATATATTTACTTAAATACATACATACATACTTATATAGATATGTTATATGCATATATGTTTATTATTATTAAT